GAGCACATATAGGCGATCGGCGGGCTATGGACCCGCTGATCGCCTATATGTGAAACACCCGGTACCGGGTGTTCGCATTGGACGGGTCTTTTCTGCCCGTGCGTGCCCGCTAGGGGGCGCGCACGAGCAGAAAAAAATTGCCGTCTGGAGACGGCAACCCGCAGATGCTGCAGTGCCGTCCGTCCGTTTTTTTACTACGGGCGGACGGCAAGAGGTTAATTTGCATTTGTTATATTGGCACGTTATGGCTAAAACATCCAGAGGGGTCGTTTTTTTTTGTTTTTTTTAAACACTTCACTTTTGCTTTCATTTGAAACTAACAAAAGCACATCACTGCCATTTCTAGTGGCATGTGATGGCTCAAGGCTACATATAATATGGAGCCTTAGTGTTAAATATTTGAAAACTTTGTGTAATCCTTCTACTAAACCCCAGCACAGTTCACATTCTGCAAGAGAAAGTGCTCTAAAACATGCTGCTGTAAACATTAACTGACTTACCCTTCTGACTGAAGCAGTTTCCAAGGAGTTTGAAGTGAACCTTGGAGCCGAGGATGAGGCCATGATCGGGAATCTTTAAGAGGGAGAGAGAGAGAGAGAGAGAGAGAGAGAGAAAAGATTTACACTCGATGACGGGAAGACACTGTGCACCAGACAATTCCTTACAGACGGGTATTTTAGAGACATGCTGCTGACAGCCAGGTATCACTAGTGAATGAGAAGAAAGTCTGCCAAGACATAGAGCTACTTAACAACCCCGTCTGCAAAAGATTTAATTTCAAATACTACAGATAACTGCAGTGAGGAGTGTGAATAATGGATCGGTTACATTATTATAATGAAGTAAAATATCACCGAGTCAAACTAGAGTACTAAAGGGACTTTAGCCAATGTTCCCTGGGAAATATATGCATAAAAAAAATGAGAAAGAACTTCTTTTGAAAGCGATTTATTTGCTTATCTAGTCACAGTAGAAGCAATACTGGGAAACTTTGGATATACAATGTGATTGTATTACATATACTAGTTCAGACTAGCAAGAAGGGGGAAAAAAACTACAACTGAATGTGGTAATGCTTTGTAGCTGCTGAAAGGCAAATGTAGTCAGCTTAAAGCTGAACTCCGGGCACAAAAGCTACCATAGAAATACAGTGGTACCTCGGTTCACAAAGTTAATTCATTTCGCGATTCTGGTCGCGAACCGAATCAAACTGTGATCAGACCGCAATCTCGACTAGAGGAAGCCATGACCATGTGTCAGAGCAGGGAAAATATCTGCGGTTGTGTTAGTCACCCAAAGCGGAGTTCGCGAACGGAAGCAAAATTTTGTCAAACTTCCTGTTTGCGAACCGAAGCATTCGTGAACCGAGGTACCACTGTATATTCCTCAATAGACACAAAGGATATAAACCACTTTGTGTGGACCATATGACTTTGAATACTAGGGCTGCAACCAACTAATCGATCATTATCGATTAGTTGGTTGATTGGTGCTTTTGCACCAGCCCACTACCTGCTGTATTTACATTCAGCCGCCGTCTGTGGAATCTTGCCACTGGCAGCTGTCAGTCCTCGGCTGAAGCTATTCAAGTGCCATGTGCTTACAATACAATTGTTTAAAAAAAAAAAAAAAAAACTTTTAAAAAGATGGCCGCCCGCACTGGAATGCATGGTACAGCAATGCCATGGGTTCCAGTGCATGTGATTGCAAAAAACTGTGCTTTATTTTGAAGTAAACCTTATGTATGCAATACTCCATTTGTGTATTTTAAATTAAGGATGGTATTTCATGTCTATATCCGATTAATTAAAAAAAATCGTCCAACTAATCGATTATAAAAATAATCATTTGTTGCAGGAAGGGATGCACCGATACTTTGCTTTAGGTACTCGTCGATACCAGCTACCGATACCGGTGCTTCCGCCGCCATGGAGCCAGCTTCCCGGGCGATCTTATTGCATGTTGTCTAATCTGCTTGATTGAGCTTGGCCGGGAAACCGGCTTCCCAGCCAATCAGCATGGAGCCGGCTTCCAGGCCAATCAGGAAGCCAGGCGGCAAGTAATGACCTGCCTCCCAGCTTTCTGATTGGCCATGAAGCCGGCTCCATGCTGATTGGCTGGGATATGGCTTTCCAGCCAATCAGCATCGAGTCGAGCATTTTTTGCATTTGCAGTGCACCTGAACGCAGGCAATGTTTTTCCACGCATTTGATTGCACTGGGGGGGGGGGGGGGGGGGGACCGCCGGGCCATTTATTT